CCTTATCATCTCTTCCTACATTATGATATTGTTTGGGATATTGGGATAAGGAATTTTTATACTTTTAAAGTCATGTGGATTTCTCTCCTTTCCTTCAATTGTTTTCTGAATTCGTCCCTTAAGAGAGTTAGGGTTAAGAAGAAAGCTAAGATCCTTTTGAGAGGTGTTTTTTGCTAGGTTATGAGTTTTGTTGGAGCATAATGTTAAAATGTCCAAGGATATATACTTCTTTGTATTCCTTGGGACATATTAAATTATTGGCTTCTTTGGGGGCCAAGGCTCATGGGTGCTTCAGAAATGTCTCTTTAACTTTATTATACAATGCTGAGGAGCAGTTTAGTGTTGTTTTTTTCCATTTTTTTTTTCTCTCTGTTTATTCTTGTAGGCTTTAGAGTTTGTTTTATTCTCTTGATTTGTACTCTTTTAATTTATCTATCTATTAATAATAATTTTGATGCATAAAGAAAGCAAAGATGGAAACTATTAGCATTAAAAGGTGGTTTTATAATAATTTTCAAATTTTATATATTCTTACATTATATAGACTCTCTATAAGGACTATTTAGGAATATTATCTAGATTTATATATTCTTACATTATATAGACTCTCTATAAGGACTATTTAGGAATATTATCTAGATTTATATATTCTTACATTATATAGACTCTCTATAAGGACTATTTAGGAATATTATCTACATTTATGAACTGTTGTGTTCTTTTTTTTGGTGGTTCATCCTCTTTAGGATGAGGTGGCATCCTACTAGTGGTAGAATAATATAGCACTTTTTTTAGGTGCTAAGATTTGAATGGCTCAAAAGAGGTGGTAATCACAGGTTTCCAGCTTAAGCTTTCTTATGAGTCCAAAGATAGTGCTACCCACAAGTTGCCAACTTCTGCCTTCCATAAGTAGATGGTGGCTGGAAGAGCTACAAGTTACCAACTTGTATTACCTCTCATTGGACAAAAGATGATAATGATCTCAAGTGGTCAACTTGTCTAGTTGCTAAGATTGCTATTGGCTCTTCTGACCTCTTTCTTTGCCTATATAAAGACATTGGACGCAATGACGAGGATATTTTCATTGGCATAGAATGAAGGATTTTCTTCTCAGAGTTCTTTTTCCTCTTCCTTTCTTTAACCCCTTTCTTTTTGCTTCTTCCTTGTTTCCCTCTCCCTTCTTTCCTGACCATAGATGAATAAATATTAATCTCTTTTTCTTTTGTTTTTCTCTCTTCTTATTCTACCTTAAAATTTGTTAAAGCAATGCTGCTTTATTTACTTATTGACTACTGATTGTCAAAGTGTATCCAACATGTTCTTTATTCATCTATGAAAACATAGGTTCCCACACTAAAAATTAAAAGTGAATGGGTAGCGAGTTAAACACAATATTGATGTTATAATTATGCATATTAAGCTTAATATTAAAACTAGAATTTGGAATTAACTCGGAATTGAATCAAAATGAACCAAACACAGCATAATAGCTAATACTGGTAACTATCAAGTTTGGTCAAAAGACACCATCACCTTGCAAAGCACTCATTGCAGTTGCTGCACATGCTGGACTAGCAAAATCGACAAAACAAAGAATGAGAGGATCCCCACCACGCTGCATTATTGATATATACAAGGATCAGGTCAACCTTTAGTAACACAGATTTAGCAACAAAGCCAACTTCAAAAAAGAAGACAATGTAATGGTCATCAAAGGACATGATCCACTTACATGTTTGGAC